GTGTGTGTGTGTGTGTGTGTGTGTGTGTGTGTGTGTACTCTTAAATCTTGAGCTTTGTTCTGGAACACATTAAGTAACATTAAGTTCCTTAGAAGTGGTTTTATCCTCTTGAGGCTTGCTTTTAATTGTTGTAGGCAGGACCAAAGCAGCCTTTAGTGTAGGACTAATATGGCTCCACTACTGAAGCAATGCCTTCTGAGTATTATATCTGATCACTTGTGTATCACAAGATTTTCCCACTTTGGCTGGTAGGAACATTTATTATTCTCTGCACTGCATGATCTTTAAAGATTGTTCTGCCCACTCCAATCTGTTGGGATCCCCCCAACCCCCATCTCAAATAGTTTCATCACATATGTGTGTGACTCAGTTTACGACTCTAGCGAGACTTTCTCAAGTGGGAAGATCTCTGGAGCTCTTTCTCTGTGCAGCTCTCTCCTCTCTGGCAATCTGCCATGCACCTGTAACCTCTGTGGCCTCCCTGAACATCTAACTCCCTCTTCTCAACTCATGGAAACCCCTAGGCTTCTCCTGAATCCCCCTTCTCTGACTTGAGTCTGGAAACTCTCTCCAGCAAATAATCTAAAATAATTATAGAGCTCATCTCATTTGTTTTCCCTCTCTGAGGGATTATTGCCCTGCACCGCCTGTTGTTCAATACCTGAAAACCATTGTTTCATATATTCTTTCAAATTTTTAAATTGTTTAAGGTGGGAGGCTAAAACCAATTCCTGTTACTCCATCTTGGTTGGAACCCAAAACATTGATAACATTCTAATTTTTTATAGATTTGTTTGTCTGCCTGCCACATTATATTGTAATCTCCAAAAGGACAAAGGCCTTGCCTGCATTGTTCTCTATTGTAATAATTAGCACTCAGCATAATACCTGGCACATAGTAAATGCTGAACAAATATTTTCTGAACTAATTTTATAAAGAATTTGGACCAGAGGGCTTTACATTTGGCAGAGACCTGTAGAACAAAAACTTAGAGGATACTTCTCTTTTTAGTTTGCACAGGAATTGCCAAACTATTTTCCAGAGCGGCTATAAATTTTATATTCCTACCACCAATGTGTAACCACCAATGTGTAAGTGATCCAGTTTCTCCACATCCTCATTAGCATTTGGTGGTATCACTATTTTTCACTTTAGCCATTCTGATAAGTATGTAGTGATATCTCATTGTAGTTATTTGCATTTCTCTAAAGGCTAATGTGTGTTTATTTTGTGTGTTTATTTGCTATTTATATAGCCTCTTGGTGAAATGTCTGTGCATGTCTTTTGCTTTTTCTAATTAGTTTGTTTTTTAATGCTGAGTTTTGAGAGATTTTTATATATTCTAGATATAAGGCCTTTGCTGGATATGTGATATGCAAATATTTTCCCATGTATGTAATTTGTCTTTTATCCATTTAACAGTCTTTAGCCAAATAAAAATTTTTAATTTTCATAAGGTCTGATTATCAATTTTCCCTCTTACA